TACAGTATTAAAATGAGTGTTACAATTTTAGACATTACACTTAGGTGCTTGATCTGTTTTTAATTAATTTTTGTACAGTGTCTTATAAGAGTCCACAATATTCTGTTACATATACATATCCAATTTATTATCACTATTTGTTGAAGAGATTTTTCTTTCCTCATTAAGTCATGTTCACATTCTTGTCAAAATTCATTCGAGTGCATATGATTGGGTCTTGCTTCAATTCCATTGGTGTGTATGACACTGTTTATGCCAATACAACATTCTTTTGATTATTTCAGGTTTGTAGTACATTTTAGTGTCAGGAAGTGTGAGCTCTACAGCTTTGTTCATTTTCAAGATTATCTTGACTTTTAGAGTTACTCGAAATTCCGTAAAATTTTAAAATGAGTTTTCTATTTTTTTTTTAGAGACCATCATGGAAATTTTGAGTAGGACTGTATTGAATCTGTAGACTGCTTTATGTAGCATTAATATCCTGGCTATGTTTATTCTTCTAATATATGAATTGAGTGCACTTCCTTTTTCTTTTTTGTTTGATTTCTTCCAGCAGGATTTTGTGGTTTTTCATAATACATGTCTTCACTTTCTTGGTTAAATTAATCCCTGATAGCATGGTTTTGAAGGTAATTGTTCATTGTTTCTGTATATAAATGCAACTGATTTTTTCCATTTATTTTGTACCTTGATAATTTGCTGGATACATTCCTTTGCTCTAAAGCATTTTTGTGGAGTCTTTTGGCTCTACATGTAACATCATGTCATATGCTAACAGATAATTTTCATTTTCCTTCCCAATTTAAATATCTTTTATTTCCTTTACTAACCTAATTGTAATTGCTAGTTCTTCCACTGCTCTGTCAACTAGAAGTGGCAAAAGTGGGCATCCTTGCTTTGTTCTTGAGCTTTTTTGGGATAACTGGGGTTTTGAATTTCGGGCCTTACACTTGCTAGGCAGCTACTCTACCACATAAGGCACACCCTCAGACCTTTTTTACTTTAGTTATTTTTTAAACAGTGTCTCTTATTTTTGCCTGCACTGGCCTAGACCATGAGTTAGCATGACAAATGCACACCATCATGCCAAGCTGAGCTGGTTCAGATGGAGTCTCCCAAACTTTTTGCCCATACTGCCCTCAAACTACAATCCTCCCAATCCCTGCCTCCCAAATTAGGATTATAGGTGTGAACCACTGCTCTTGGCCTTGTTCTTGATGATAACGTGAAATTTTTCAGTTTTTCAGCATAGACTATGTCATTTGCTGTGCTTTATATGTGCCTTTTGTTATGTTGATATAGCTCTCTTATATTCTTATTTTATTATGTGTTTTTCCATAAAAGGATGTTGAATTTTGTTACATGCTTTTTTTTGTATCAATTGAGATGATCAAAGTTTTGCCTTTATACTGTCAATATCATGTCTTATGTGGTTTTATTTTTTAAATGAGCTTTACAGAGATAACATTCTCATATGATAAAATTTGCCCTTTTTATATCATTCAGTATAATTGGTATATTATAGAATTGTGTGACCTATACCATTATATAACTTCAGAAAAATATTACTGTCCCTCTCCCCAAAAACCCTCTCTACTCATTAATTCCTATTTATCAACTCCAATCATCTACAGCTTCAGGCCAACACCCACCTTTCTATATCTATGGATTTTCCCATTCTGGAAATATCATAGAAATGGAATCATATAATATATGATCTTTTCTGGCTGCTTTCCTTTAGTATGTTTTCAAGGCTCATCCATGTTGTAAAATATATCAGTGCTTCTTTCCTTTGTAAGATTGAAGAATACCCCAATGTATGGCTAAAGCATACTTTTCATTCATTAGTTGGCAGATCATCACTGATGGTCGTTTTTACTTCTGAACATCAACTAAAGCTATTTTATCAATAATAATTAATGTGTACTAAGTCCACATCCTTGCAAATTAAGGTCCTAATGGCACAGGAAAATTTTAGCTATTGCAAATGATGTGATCATAAACATTTGTGTACAATATGAACATGTATTTTTGCAGGCATATTTTTTCAATTGCCTTGGGAATATATTTAGAGGTAAGTGTTGCTCGATTGTATTGTAACTCTTTTGAACTTTTCGAGGAACTGCCAGGGTATTTTCCAATAGTCTGTGCCATTTTAAATTCCCACCAGAAATACATGAGGGTTCCAGTTTCTCTACCTCCTCAGCAACATTTGTTAATGTCCACACTTTTGGTTACAGACTTTGTAGTGTGCTGTGGTGGTATTTTTATAACAAAATCATCCAAGGTGGTGGGAATAGTCCCCAAATTTTGCAGTCATAACTAAAAGTTTTGGGGCAAACATATTTACTAGTCAACCACAGGACCCTATCCACCACTGGCTGCAGAACAAGGGACAATACTGATAAGGCTGCCAGTTCCCACTGCTTGTGGTGCCCTTCTTGATGAATCAAAGCTAGGGCTTCCCACAACGCAGTCCCCAAATCAGCAACATAAGCACTACCTGGGAATCAGTTAGAAATACAAATTTGGGGTTTGTCTCAGTCCCTGATGAGCTACAGGCTGTGAGGTGGACCCCAGGTTTCTGTGATTTCAGGTGATTCTGATGCCTGCTCAAGGTCATGGGAAGGCAGAAATCACTGATGGTCGTTTTTACTTCTGAACATCAACTAAAACTATTTTATCAATAATAATTAATGTGTAATAAGTCCACCATCCTTGCAAATTAAGGTCCTAATGGCACAGGAAAATTTTTGGTAAGATTCATTAATGTAACTTGAATTGAAGTGATTGATGTTTTCCAATAATGAATAACATTTTTGATGTGAAATGTTTTTATAGTTCTTTAGTTTATAGACAATAGGATGGCACCTGAGCTTCACAGAGCAATCTATAAAGATTTTATCTATAAAGATGAACTCATCGTTGTACTATGAGAAAAGACCACAAATACTCTGGCAGCCTTGTGCATTCAATACTATTTTATATATTAGAAGATTCTAAATTTAATCATTGAAGAAGGAAAATGTTCTTTAAAGAACAACAGTATGCTTCTTTCTTATACTGCCATTTAAGTTTTTTTTTCTCTTTGGATATATGCCCATAAGCGAGATAGCTGGGTTACACAATACAACTGTTTTTAATTTCTTTAGGACACCCCATGCTGTTTCCATAGTGAGCATATTAATTTACTTTCCATGGTTGTGTGAAAGGGTAGAAGGAGTCATATGATTTGATTAGTGTACCTGGTATCCATATATGGACATGTCACATAAAACTTCATTAATATAATTTACATGTGTCAACAAAAATATACATATTTCCTGCAAGCTTCTAAATTCAGGCATATATTGTACTTTGATGAAATTCATCCCCTCTATTGCTCTTTCTTATACACTGACCCCTATTTTTACAGATTTTAGTGGGTTTCATTGTATAATTTTTGTATAGATAAAGGGTATTTAAATCACATTCATTCCCTAGCACCCTATCCATTCCTTCTCACCACTACACCCACCATCTTAAATGCTGCCACTTTTACATGCCTGTTATATTGTTTAAGTAGGTATAGATTACTCTTATGAGAGAACATGCAATATTTGTCTTTTTGACTCTGGTTTATTTCATCTAACGTGATGATCTCCAGTTTCATCCTTTTTTGCAAATGGCATAATCTCATTCTTTTTTATGGTTGAATAATACTCCATTGTATGTGTATGGGAAATATATATTTTTTTTCTTTATCCATTCACCAGTTGGTGGACACCTAGGCTGATTGCATGACTTGGTAAGAGTGACTAGTGCTGCAATAAAAGTTGGTGTGCATATTTCCACTGTATTCTGACTTAGGTCCTTTGAAAAATGTGCAAGAGAGGTATAACAGGATCATATGGCATTTCTATTTGAATTTATTGAAGAACCTCCATAATGATTTCCATAGTGGCCTGTTTATGTGCATTCCCATCAACAATGTATAAGGGATCCTTTTCTCCATGAACACTTACCAGCATTTCTTATTGTTTGTTTTCTTGATGATAGCCATTCTGAGATAGAATCTCAATGTCATGTTGATTTCCACTTACTTTATGGCTAAGAATGATGAATATTTCTTCATGGATTTATTGGACATATCTAATTTTTCTTCAATAACTCTTTAGAATTCATTTGTCAATTAATTAATTGGCTTTTTAGTTATTCTGGAGTTTGTTTTTTTGAGCTCAACAAATTTGCTAGTTTCTAATTGGATTATTAGTTCTTTTGGGTTCACTTTTGTGAACTCTTTGTATATTCTTGTTATTAATCCCTGGCAAAGATTTTCTCCCATTCTCTAGGTTTCCTTGGATGTGAAACTGCTTTTTAATTTGATGCACTCTCACTTCAAGTCTTGCTTTTATTTCCAGAGCTATTGATGTCTTATTCTAGGTTGGGGTGGATGTATCTTTCATTACCACTCAGTATATAGTAGCAACAAAGTCATTAAATTAAAAATAAGCCAGATATATACATGTAGTAAAAATAATTGGAAATATCAGCTACATACTCAGTAGGGTTGTTGAAGAAATGGACTAGGATTTTTATAGGGAAAACTAGGGGTTTACAAATTATTAAATATACATACATATATATACATGTATTGTATATATGTTGTATAATATACAGAAGGGGTGGAAGCAGAAAAGAATATATAGCAAGATAGAAAAAGGGAGGATAAGTAAATGGGATCAATGTATAACAAGTAATAGTGTAAGAGAGAACAGTATAACAGTTGCATAGAATGAGACGCTGGGGAGAGGGGAAAAAAGAAAGAATAACCAATAACCACTGTGTATGTTTTCATGCTAGATACAGATTGGATCCTGTTAGGGCATCAGGTGTCTTACTCCAATCTATGACCCTCAGAGGTTGGTCTATGTTTCTGCTGTGTTTGCTACTGGTTCCCACTAGGCGTGGACCTACTTTTGATTCCCCTCAAGGTGCAGCCTGGCCATTGTGGTCTGGTAATGTTCATGTGTGGGGCAGCAACTCTGGAATGCAGGTCAGCTTTGGGCACTGTGGCAGCAGCTCTAGGGGGTGGAGATAGGCATCTGTGGGAGCATAACAACTGGTCCATCTGGGCAGGGTAAGGGAGGGTGGCTCAGGGGAAATGTGTTGCTCACTCCACTCTTGTACATTCAGGTGAAGGTATTGGGGTGGGGGTTCCAAGACCTGGGTGAGTCTGAGTGCTCCCCTGGAAGCCTTCACTCTTCATTAAAGTGCACTGGACAGGTGGTCCACTCAGGGAGCAATTCTGGCATGTGGCTGCACTCTCCACCTATGGATTTTTATTTGTGGATCTGAGCCTAACTACTCACCAAATTTCTGGGTCTGCATTGAACTTTAATATGGTCTTTTGGTTAATTAGTGGAGTTGGAGAAGTCTTTGGGATTTGGAGATGTTTTATAAAATGCAGGGTTCCTGCTCTTTCCATTTGAGAGGCTTGTTTTTCAGATATCTCCTGAGTAGACTCCCCTCCACACTCAGGTGAGTGAGTTAGGCTGCACATGGAGTCCAAACTGTGGTGTCTGCTTGCTTGGCAGGATGCAAACATCCTGTCTTACACTTTATTTATGTAGAGTGCCAGTTCTTATGCTGTAAAGTCTCCCAGAAAGAGGGCTTTTCTCTTCTTTTGTTAGGACCTGCATTAGGAGTATTATTTCCTTCTCTATCACTTTGCTTAACAACTTGCATTACAGTCTTTTGTCTCTTTTATAGATCTACAGTCCAATATTACTGGATTACCAATGGTCTCTGAGTACTCTTTACTGGTACCCTCCCTTTTCATTCTAAACCACGAGCCTTCCTTTGTAGCCAAATACTTGAAGTTTTATTTCATATTCATGGAGACACAGGTGGGTGGCTCAAATCCAGTTTTGTTTTTGAAAAATTACATTTATTTTTTATAGATGCATAGAAATACAAAAATTACACAAATTTATGGAGTTCTGTGTGATGTTTTGGTACATATATGTATTGTGTAATGTTCAATTACTTCTTTAAAAATTTAAAATAAGGAAATAAGAAAGCCTGGAAATATTATCACTAAAATTATGGGAACAAAGAGAGAAAGAACCAAAACAACAAAATTCCCTTAAGAGATCAAAGTGATGGGGAGATGGGAGTTTAAAATTGGCTCATGCATGGAGGATGTAAAATCCCTAAAGAGAATGGAAAACCTGACCAAACTATTGAGTCTCCAAGGAACTTAAGACACACCATGGGCTAGTATGTAAACACGGTCACCCCATTTCCTCTTTATTCATGAAATCTACTCCTAGGCTAAAAACTGAACAAGTTTCTCCCTGGCTTTCAACAGAGAGTACTATGTCATTAAATTCATGTAAAATCATTTGGTCTCCTCAACTGGAAAAAGTGAAATAACAAGGGCTGTTTGTCATTACAAATGATGGCCATAGCTTAGGAAAATTTCTAGGGTATATAAGAAATTAAATTTTTGATGCTTCTTCTGTTAGGAACAAAGGAACCAAAGCCTTAGAGTTTGATATTGCCCTATAATGGGTTAATAACAATGATAAAGAAGCCCCAGACTTTTCTGTCCAAGTAGGGTAAGTTTTGAAATCTATATTAATGTCTTAACTTTTACTTAACACCTCTATTGAAATACCATTACCATGGAAACTGGTGGATAGAAGGTACACAACTTTATGTTTTGATAAACATACTCATCCTGAAATTATGCCACAACCATGGAGCTAATCAGCATATCAATTACCTATGTAGTCACCTTTTCCTGTGTTTTTTGTATACTTACTTAAATATAGTAAAAAGAAAATTTTAAAAAGTACCCTCTTAGCAAATTACAGATATACAATACAGTATTATTACCTATGCTTACATATACATGATATTTCCAGAACTTAATCGTATTGCATAATTGAATCTTTTTTTACCTTTTGGCCAAAATTATAAGTTTCTTTCTCCCACTAACTATGGCTACCAACACTCTACTTTGCTTATGTAAATATATATGCTTTAAATTGCACATATATGTGAGGTAATGTATGCAGTATTTCTCATTCATTTCCTTCCTAATTATGTTTAGCATAGTGTCCTCATGTTTTAAGATGATTTCCTGGGTTCTAAGGCATACCATTTTTGTTCAATTTTGTAAAATCAGAAGAATCAAGTGAAATGGTGGAAAAAATCTCTTTGAAAAGGGAGCCAAAAATGTGTAAAGATTCAGTAAACTGTACAGAACTCACACTCTTCCACAGTTATGAGTTTCTGTGACATGGGACCATAAGTTTACCATTCCTAGATTCTGATTCTATTGTTCTAAATTGGAAACAGTGTTCATGAATCCAACACTACCAGAGTCTGATCTGCTTTGGAGACCAGCACCAGGTTGCTAAGGCTTATGCTTCTAATTTTACCAGTAAGAGGGAACTGAAGCTAATGAAGAGATGAAGAGAGGAGAGAAGGGCAGTCCTATTCTGGTCAAGCCTCTTGTCACTTCTCTGTTCATTTTAGCCACTGATTTTTTGTAAGACTCTAATATGAAGAATGTAATGTCACTGAATATCATGGTAGAATGAAAGAAAGATGCTAGTTATAGTTATAGTCAGGCTGATCAACTTCAGCCATTCCCAGCATCATTTCAAACTTGTGGGAAAAGATATTGTTAAAAATTTTGAGTTATCCTCTAATGTCATGCTATTTCATGTTCCTACAGATTCTCCTACATAAAAATCAGCCATGAAAACAACACTTTGGTGACTGAATTCATTCTGGGGAGCTTAATAGATCAGCCTGAACTCCAAATACCCCTGTTCTTCCTATTTTTAGTATTGTATCTGGTCACTGCTTTGGGGAATTTTGGTTTGAGAATTTTAATTGTGCTGAATTCACATTTTCACACCCCCATGTACTTTTTCCTCTTTAATTTGTCATTAATAGACCTCTGTCATTCTTCTGTAATAACACACAAAATGCTGATGAAATTTATATTAGGTAAGAATGTTATCTCTTACATGGGATGTATGACCCAGTTATACTTTTTTTGTTTTTTTGTCATTTCTGAATGCTGTGTGCTGACATCAATGGCCTATGATCGCTATGTGGCTACTGCAATCCTCTTTTTGTATAATGTCATCATGTCCCCAAAAGTGTGTTCCTACCTCATAGTTGGTTCCTACTTGATGGCATTTTCTGATGCCATGGTCCACACAGGATTCATTCTGAGACTGATCTTCTGTGATGGAAATGCCATCAACCACTACTTCTGTGATTTCCTCCCTTTGTTCCAGCTTTCCTGCACCAGCACCTATATCAATGAACTTAGTATTCTCATTGTAGGGATAAAAACATCATTGTGCCCAGTTTTATCATCTTTACCTCTTATGGTTTTATCCTTTCTAGCATCTTCCAAATGAAGTCCACTGAAGGCAGGTTCAAAGCGTTCAGCATCTGCAGTTCCCACATAATTGCTGTATCTCTATTTTTTGGGTCAGATGCCTTTATGTATCTCAAACCCTACTCCTCCTCCTCTGATAAAGGAAAAATATCTTCTGTCTTTTATACTACTGTAGTTCCCATGATGAATCCTTTAATCTACAGCTTGAGGAACAAAGATGTTAAAGTTGCCCTGAGAAAAACCTTAAGCAGGAGAACATTTTGATCAGAAACTCTGTGCTATAACTACAGGCACAGAGATTCTCTGTTTAATTAATAAATTTTGTGGCAGGTTTGTTATCTTATTTCTTTCTTATTGTTAGGTGGTAATGTTGGAAACTTTCTTGTTTCTAATTTTATTAGGTTCTCACTATTCCTCACAATTTACACAATTTCTCATTTTTATACTTTTACTTATTTAAGAATAACATTAAAATGTTACATATTTCTTTTTTTATTTTCATTATGGATTTTATCATAGAAAATAATGAATGTGTGTGCAATTATAAAATAATATAATATTAGGCTAATAATATGCCATTATTCATAACACTTCATAGTTTCCACTTGCAATGCAGCATAAATCAGACAGTCTTGTTTTCCATTCTTTACTGTACCGTGCATGAATATATCATTTTAAAATGCTAGCATTTTACAATGCAGATTGTTGTATGTACACTATTTGGTACAACCCAGTTTGCAGCTGTAAGTTCTATGCAATGAATTTTTTTTGGTCAAATGTGGTATTTCACTTCTAATGATAAACCAGCAACTAAAAGATTATTAATGTAAATTTATTGTAAAACGAAATTCTGACTTTCAGAAAGTAGACTTTCTGTCTATTTTATTATTTTGTTTTTCAAAAATAGGAAATATAAGTTGACATTTTTGCTTTAGAATTTGACCATGCTTTGCTTCTTTAAGGGTTATTGTTGCATTCCTTTTTGGTTCAGGAAAACCATCTTATGTTTCCTTTTCTGGAAAAGAAGGAGCTTATTGGATCAGGCCAGTGGGGAAATTATTAACTCATGTTCAAACTGACTTTTTTTGTGCATGGTATTGCTATGAAGCCCAGGTATTGAAACTTAAGTTAGGAAGAAGGAATTTCAAAAGTAAAAATAATGGGAAAATGTAACCTTATACTTACTCATCTCTTTTGTGGAAGGCATGAGGTATTTGTAGAAATTATAAATTTTTTTTCTGAATATGATACAGGCTTATGTTATTTGCATCTAACAAAAGGTTAAAGACAGGAGGATCTTGAAACAAGTAAATCACCTTTTCCTTTCTTGACTTTCACATGCTATTCCTTTATGGAACTTCAGGTATTAAAGACTAAAATTTCAGCTAAGCTAGCAATGAGAATTTGAAAGTTGTATTTAGTGAATGAAACAAATTCTGGCAAAATCTTTTTGAGAATAGAAGAATGGTTAATTTTCCTCTTGAGAAATTAGGCCAAAAGATGAGGAACCTAAAAGTTCTAAACTGACATAACAAGTGACCTTTAAATATTTCCCAGATAAATGCATTAATGTATAGTATTTTTCCATTTTTTCTGCTCTCCATTCAGTTTTGAGGTACTGTGAAATTAGCATTTGGACTTGTTGGCTTTTTGGCTTTTTACATGTACAGCTTTGCTAAGTGCTTGATGAAGGTGTGACATGTCCAGTTCTTCTGGCATTAACTTGCTTACTTTTTTTACTCAATGTGATCTGCTTACATAAAAGAGATGAACTAAATTGATAGTTTCTTTTCATTTATTTCTTTACATACTGTCCCTTTTGGTAAAAAGTATTTTCCTTATTGAATAAAAATGTGTTTATAAAAGAAAATAGCATCTGTGATCTTCGGTACTCTGTTAGCATTGTAAGGTGTGTCCACTTCTTATGGACTTCATTACTATTTTTGAACTCGCCAAGACTGTATTAATCCATATTCCTAATCTTTCACTTGAATAATCTAAAAATATAAATAAAATATGTTTTATTTTCAGGAAATCAAAATTCCTTTAAAATTTATTCTCATGCTTTTAGCAGTTTTTTTAATAAAATTCATTTTAAAGGTTTGTAAATGCACTTTGTAAATGTTAAGGACAACAAATTTGAAATGAGGTAGTTTAGCTGATTTAGTTAACTCAATTTATCAATTTGGATTTTGTTTTCATAAATAGGTAACCAGATCTGGGCTTAATGGCTAGCACTTTGTAACAATACTCTGTATGTAACCAGCAGAAATTATTCACAGTCAGAGAAAGATGTGCAGGCAAATTTTTATAATGTCACATAGTAAGTTTCATGCTACATGGAATAAATTCCAAGTGATCATATATTCAAAATAACTCTGAAAACTCATATTGTTGCCATAATATCTTGTTGAGGATCAATATGAGATTTTTTCCACAAATCTGGTACAGTTTATTATCTCTGTCATTGGGACATTTCACTCTTAATGAAGCTGAGCACTAGAAGAAGAGAGTAGTTCATCTTCTGATCTTTGTTTTAAAATAAGGTACCTTTAATTTTTTTTTTTACCTTACAGTGATTTGAACTCAGAGCCTCACATTTGCTAGGGCTCACATCTGCCATTCCTATTTTTTATTGTTTATTCATTTATTCATATGTGCATACATTGTTTGGACCATTTTTCCTCCCTCCCCCCACAACCTGCCTCACTTCTCCAATTTTGTTGAAAAGACATAAAAGATAATAAGAAACACATAGCATTTTTGTTAGTTTGAGATAAAGGTAGTTATATAGAGAGATTCCTAGCATTACTTCCATGAACAAGAGCAGAAGCTCAAAACATTCAACAAAAGTGTACAGAATGTAACCTTTACAGTTCATATTTCACAATTCTACTGCCTAATTTAGAATGTGTGAATATAGTCTTATTTTACATTGGCCTACAAAAGAAACAGAAACTTGCTGCTCACTGGTGGCTACAGTCAGGGAGAAGGGAGAGGAGAGCCCACTGCCATGAATCTGAGGCCATTCCTACTCTAAGTACATTAACATCTCACAAAGATAGTCATCACGTAGTTGTTAATGCTGTTACAATGGCAATTGAATCTGAACGTGATTTGGGGAGTGGACATTCAAAGCATAGTAAGGTCAGTGTTATTCTTCTTATTAACAATGAATACTTGAAAATTGAAATTTAACAAAAACAGCACCATTTACACAGCACCAAACCCTGGAAACTTTAGGTTTGAATCTAATAATACATGCACAAGATATATACACTACAAACTAACAATGCTAATGAAAGAAACATAAGCCTATAGACTAAAAAAAAACCTGTGTTTACACATTGCTAAGATGTTTATCATCTCTAAAATGATGTCTACACTCCATGTATTAAATTACAAGCAGGGTATCTTATAAGAAATTCATTCTTAAACATATATGAAAAGCCAAACAAGACTAGGCAGTATAATTTTCCAAAGGAATGAATTTGGACAACCCCAAAACCTGAAATAAAATTGCTGGCTCTATCACAATATAAAACTATGGAATAAAAGCACATACATTCATTTTGACAAAATTCTGAAGGTCATTGTCACAAAATTTCTGAAGCAAATACTACCAAACTGATTTAACAGCATATTTTCCCTAAACATTAAATAATAATGCATCCATGTATCAAAGCATCTTATGGTACATCACAGGGAGAATAAAGGTAGAGCATAAAGAGTAAGAATCACCAATCTTCAGTTTTGCAAGCTCTTTCTCTCTTTTAACCATTATTTGAAGGAAACTCTACCCTTAACTGTTACCATTCAAGAATTTAAATACTCATAGTGACCAGAATAAGGAAAAGCACAGTGCCAAACAATTAACAATTTTTCTTCTACTCTGTTACAATCAGTAGTATTGAAATGATCTTGACTTTAAAATATTTTTTCTGAGCATTCATTTTAGATGTTCTCTGGATCAAGTATTTTTAACGGTTCAAATTTCAAGTCAAAAGTCTAAGATACCTAGATTATCACTAAAACATTTATTTCCAAATGTCCATTCTGTTTTACAGACCCCATACACCTACATTTGTTAATTGTTAGGTAACATTAGCTTAGATTTAATTTTCACAATGTAGCAATATTGGTACACAAAAAATTCTTATTTGACCGCAATTGAAATTTTCAAGTCTTTCTCCTGAGTGCTCAAAGTTCCTTCCCTGCTTTTCTGAGAGTTTTATTCTAAAATATGTAGAGTATTTTTGTTGTAATAAAGCTATAGAAGTAATACATTGTTCCTGTAAGTGGGCCATTGATAGCGCAGTTGGCACTGATAGTAAAGCAAATTTCCACATTTCTATTCAATGCTATGTGTACCTGTCACATTTGTCAAGGCACATTTATTATTTATATCCTCCAGAAATATTTATATAATACACTACAGAAATTGTAGCAAAATTTGGAAAACTGCAAGGCATTCTCTCATAACTTAAATATAGAACTCCCCTGGGACCCAATAATGCCTCCCCTAGGTGTATACCTAAAATCATGGATCCTTGGTGGTGTATCTACAAAGGCATCACAATACTCAGAGCTATGTACATTTCCTCAAATGACATATTTTAGTAGTGTCATAATTTCGCATCTTACATTTAGGTCTCTGATCAATTTGAGAGAGACCTCTCTTTGTTCCATTCTATTACTTTTGCCTTTGCCAAAAATCAGCTGACTGTACTTATATGGGTTCATTTCTGGACTCTCCATTCCATGCAGTTGATCAATATTGTTTCTCTACTATCAAACTGATTTGATTACTACATCTTTATAATCAGTATTAAATTTAGGTAATGTAAATCCTTTATCTTTTGTATTATTTTGACTATTCTAGTTCTTTTGCATGACCATGTAAACTTTAGAATCTTTTTGCTGAAATCCATGAATAACTTGCAGGGATTTTGAATGGGGTTGCATTAAATTTAAATTAGGGAAAAAGCTAACTTCATGACAATATTGGGTCTTCCTATCCATGAACATAGAATATCTCCATTTATTTAGTTTTTCGTGACTGTGAAACTAGCTCTGCACACATGTAAGAAATTCCACTTGGTTTTTGTACATATTTCTCTTTACATATTGTTGAACTCAATTTGGAAATATTTTGTTGAGGACTATTGCATTACGATAACATGAAAGATACTTTTTTACTGTTTCTTCTTTTGTTTTCTTTGTAGTGCTGGGGATTAAACCCATGGCCTCACATATGGTAGGAA